ATTAATAACCTTCTATATTTTCAGCTAATCCAAAAGTAAATGAGGAACTTAAGAAAAGATTGCTAACTCCAAATCAACACAGTGACACAGAATTGAAAAAGCAGCAGCATACAGCTTCATTTGAGGACTTTCGTAAGGAACTCTGTGCTCTATGATATGAGGTGAAGTTTTTTTTTTTATTTTTAAGAACTAAGCATACCAACACTTTGTTTTTATCATGCACTTAGTTAACCACAAATGTGAGCTTATATCTTATGTGAGCTTATATCTTATGTAAGCTTATATAAAGCTTATTTCTTGAATGCTTAATATAAATGTTAGCCTTAAATCTTAGGTGTTTACTTTTTTAAAAATAATCTGCACGTTAAAAATGAAAATGTGTACAACTTTGGGAGTCATATAGGAAAGACAAATTATTTCCTGCCTTATTTGTTAAAAGATACACCCTAATCTAATACCCTTGAGTTTTAAAATATGTGTATGTTTATTTTTAACTCTTACATGTACTATCACAAGAACACCACCCTGGATATTTTCATAGCCCAGCCATTGTCTCTTCAGGGAATGTGTTGTAATTTTTTAATAAATATAGAAAAAAATACACTTTGGTGTGTATGATAGACTATTGTTCTCTGTATAAAATATTTTAAAGGAGATACGTAAGTAATAAAATTCATGGTAAACTTACTGAATTAGTAAGAGCACTAATTTTAATATTTTAATTAGAACGTTGACATGTTAAAAACTCAATTATATTAAATGTACCGGAGAAGATTTTTTTAAAACATTCAAAATGTTATATGGCCAACCTAATATTTTAGATATTATTTATTAGAACTGGAATTTGCCTCTTGAAATTCTTGGGTGTAATGAAATGTTTCGAGAGTGTAATTAACTGTTTCCTATGAACCGACCCATATGCAAATATTGAGATGGGTTATTTAGGAAAGCTAATCAAATATCTGCAAGTTCAGGGCTGAAATGGTTGTAGGCCGCTTTGCCGATATTTTATCCCTGGAGCTCGGGCAGGTGAAGGGTGTTTGAAGGAAGCGAAGCACGTCCTGCCATCTGTAACATCAAGCCAAGTGAGCGGTCTCGTTGCCTCAAGTGGGGCTGCTCACTGTGGTCTGGGTATGTGCCCTGTGGTGTGGACATGCAAGATGGGGCTCCAGAAAAAACAGGCAAACTAAAAATTGTTCAACGCTGCCTTTGCCTGCAACCAAAAGCTGAACAAAACCATTATATAAACTGGATGTGTGAAGAAAAAATCTTTTACTGAGAAATATAATTTAGGTCTGATTGTTAGAGTACACAGGCTTTATTGTCTTGCTATAAATATTTTTAAATCATTTGTCTCTTGTAAATTCTCTGTCAAATAAAGACATAGGATAGGTGTGTTATGATATATTGTTTTGAGTTTATTTATCTAGTTTGCTTTATTTTAGCTCTGAAATCTTGGAGCAAAAACTGGAGTCAGTGCCAGATCAAATAAGTTCAGAAGAACAAATGGAGGACTGGTCAAAAGGTAAAGACTTTTAAGATATTGATAGGGAACCTCAGGTGTTGTACCGGTGCTAGGCAGTGCCTGGAATGTATTTGTTCTTGCCGATATATAATCAACTTAAGAGGTAGTGGGTGTTTTTTTTTTTTTTTTTGCTGTTTGGGGGTTTGGGTTTTTTTGTTGTTGTTATTGCTGTTGTTTTGGGTGAAAATTTTTTGGTATCATGAAAGCAGCTACAAATAATGATTTCTTCTAAACCCCTGTGTATGAGTGGGCAAATTAAGGGATGTAAATCATCACTTTCACTGTGTTTGGCCACTGAAATTTTGTCATAATTCTGAGACATCTTAGGTGCATTTTTAGCCTGTGTACTATGCTTTACTTCCTCAAATTTTATTTAATATTTAACAAAAATCCTGAAGTGTGTTTTACAGTGACTTTTTAAGCTATACTTGCCTGGCTAAAGTATGATAAAGTAATTCATCTATTAATATTAAGTATGACCTTAGCCATATATAGAGAGTAAGGTTAGGCTTTGAGGTACAAAGAGGCTCTTGGTTAACTTGGCCTGAGGGGTTTATGCCCCTTGCGTGGTTCATCAAGTTGTGATCTCCCCATCGGGATGAAGGATCTTCTACAAACTACAAAAAAAATGAATGGGTATGTCAGTCTCAAAGATGCTGCTCCATCAGATGCTCAGAGCACCTGATGAACTCTTCTTTTGGAGTTTTATCATATGTGTACTTTTTCAGAAGATAATAAAGTTATAATTTGTCATGAAAAATCATCTGATCTTTAAAGGAAAAGGGCAAAAATGCTCCATGTTGGAGATGATGATACATTTCCTACTAAGGTAAAAGAAATCGTGCCTATGCTATCCTATATAAAATATTAGTTGAAGACTTCTTTTAATTCATGGGATTTTGAGCCTTTACTAAGGTAAATTAAAGTGTTTTGGAATCAGGCACACTGAAAAGTGTTCACAGTGTAGTAACTTAGGAGAAAATAATATTCTGACAACTTATACTCTGTTTACAATGTGTTATTGCTTATTGAGATTTAGTATTTTTAGACCTTTAGGGGTCAGCATACCCTAAGAATGGTTCAAAAGGTTAATTTTTTTCCGAAGTAGGCTCACAGCGAATACCTTGAATTGATTCTTTGTCAAATATTTCCTGACCAATTGCAAGAAACTGTTTTCTTCTACAGTTCACACCCACTTTAAAAACAGGCTAATTCATGAGCTTCATGTGCATTTTCTTCTGATAAATCGAGTTTATATATTGTGATGTTTAGAATGCTTTGTCTTCCAAGCTAATGTTCCCAAGCTAATCCCTTAATCTAATAAGCTTGGCATACAAAAAAAAAGCTTGAAATAAAAACTGGTATCCTTATTTGTTTTTTGTCACAATCATTAAAAATCATGTTTTTACTTGTAGAGGAGTTTAAAAATGTGGGGATATGGAGCATATAAACCTCATGTCACATGTTTTGAACAAGGAAGCAATGCTTTTCTGAAGTTTTGCTTAGACATTAACTATTTTATGTTGCTGTAATTTGTCTGCCAACTGCCAGCTTTTGCAACTAGATGATGTTCATAGGATGGTGTTCTTTATGTACTTCTAGGAGATATTTCATTTTCTCGTCGAGCTACTAAGCCAGCAAACTTTTAACATTTTTAAGTGTCTAATTTTGAAATGTTTTCTCTTTAGCTTTCATTGCCATTCAGGGTGTCTTTCCTTTCTGCAAGTGTCAGTGTACTGTATTTAGTTATTCCATGCTTGCCATGTGGAAGTTTAAAAGGAGTGGGTGGGTTTGGTGTGTGTGTGTTTTTTGTTTTTTTTTTTTTTTTTTTTCCTTTTTTTAAAGGAAAATCCATAATTATTGATTCAAAATTTGTCTCCTAGTTTAGAGATAAAATTATGTGTCAAAAATAATTGAACACACTTAAACATATCTGAAATTAAATTCAGTTGACTAAATGAAAATTCAGTCAATGAGAATTGGGGAAAAAAAAAAAAAACAAAGTGAGAGAAAAGTCACAGTTTGTGACCATAATGTGGGGTAATCAGTTAATAAATGTTGTAAAATAAAATACTTGAAAGAAAGGCAATGTGTATCTGAAGTCAATGTTGGATGTGTTGTTTTAACTTTCTGGAATCGTTGGGTTACAAATACGATTGTGTGGATGGAAGTCAGGTTTCTGTGTCTGTTTTCACATATTAGAAAAAGTTAAGGACAGCCTGTGTGCAAGAATTGTTATTTTGCATATGTACCTAATTTAAACATACTATTTATCTCCACAGGACCTCATTTTTAATAGGAGCATAGTGACTTTTCTCATTTCTCTCTAAGAATACTCGAGAGAAAGGATCTGGAGCAATGGCAGCATGCCAGGGAAGACTGTAATTTCCAAATGAAAGGTTCAGACTCCAAGCTAGAAAGCGTAGGACTAAGGTCTATTATAAAACTAAACTTACAGTGGCAAACACGAGCACAGCTTTTGTGCTTTGTGGGAGAGGATAGGATACACACTGCACCTGGGTGAAGAACTGTTACCTTTCCAGATTTTAAATGCATAGCAAAAACTGCCCAGATGCTAGCACTGCAATAAAAACATATGAGGAGATTTGAATCCATACTGGGTGCTTTACATACTTGCATATTCATGCAGGACTTGATAAGTTGATTTTCAAAAAGAACTAGCAGAATAGGCAAGCGGTAAGTGTGCAAATACTGCAGGTAAATTTGTGTCTCATTTGACTAGTGTTGACTCTATTTGAATGGGTGCAGATATAATTCTTTTGTAGCATGTTGTCTTTTCACTCTTGTAATATTTTTTCCTGCGTAGACTTCTGCCCCGTGTGGAAAAATCATAGATGTTCAGAAAGTAGGTGAAGCCTTTATTAAACAGTGTTTGCTCTATCATGACGGAAAACTTGCAGTTTTGCTGACTCAAATGAAAAGCATTGTATAATTGTTTTGAATTTTCTAAAATGAGACGAGATTATTTTTTGAGGGCCAAGTGGCTTGCTTGCTTAGAAAAGTAATTATACTTTCCAGTAAGGATGTATGTGTGTGAGAATGTAGATATATGTACATACGCCACATATTTCTAAATCACTGCTTAAAGCAGGTAGTGAAGGGTTATGTCAGTGACCCACTTTCACTTGTAAGAATTTGATGTCAACTCTTAGTTATGGTCAGTGCATTCACTTTCATTATAACCTGTGTTATCCTTTAGAAAAATATTTGTCTGGCTCATGAAAATACTTTAAAATTGCATGCCTGGAAACCATGGTGCAGAAGAGACTATTTTGAAAGAGATGTGATAGCGTAGGTTAAAAATGAATGGCAGAAGTAGCTTTTGTGCAGGGAAACTTGACGAGTGTTTTTACTGGTGCCAGGCTGCTGTTCTCTAGTTCTGTCCCACTAGGGAAAAACAGAGGACGAAAACAGAGATGCAAACCCGATTAGCAAGTCACGTGTATGTGTGAGCTGCCCATGTGGATGTGCGTGCGTTGCAGGAAGACGTCCTCATCACGTCGCGTGTTCCTGCCGTTGGCTGGCATGAGCGCGTGGTGCTTCTGCTAAGGACCCGGCCAGAGCTGTTCTTATGTCCTCGTGATTGTGACAAATGTCAGTGTGGTGTGATTTACAGAAATACTTGAGTTCTTTTGCTGTGTGGTGTGTTACTTTGGAGAGTGTAATTCTGTTAGTTTTGTTCTGTTTGTAGTTTTATTTGCTCCCTTTTTTTTTTTTTCCCCCTTCCCTTCTTCCTTAGCTAACTTTCAAGAAATGAAGTTCTTCCTCACCACAAACGTATGCATTATCTCATTAGGATAAATTAGTCTTTCAAGTTTTGTAATGATTTTAACATGCTGTTTTTATGGGTTTAGTTTTGTAAATCTTGTGTAATTGTAAGGGCTTGTTGTCTGGAATTCCATACTGTTAGTATGACTTTTCACACTAATCACATAGCAAACTGAAAATCTTAAGGGTTATAGAGGACTTGGAGAATAATATGGTATGGATGTTTCCTCCTTTCATGTCATGTGCTAGTACTCGATAAGCTGCATTGTAGAGATGCTGCTTCCTCTTCAGAACATCCATTATAGCTGTAGGCACTGGCTAAAGTAAACCTGAATCCCTTCTTCTAAGGCTGCAGTAGAGGCAGAATAAACTATTTGTCATATTGGAGTCTGTTTTGTCTTTTACATGCCTCAACAGAAGGTACTATGAGCCTGTTCCTTCTCTCCTTTCAGCAATCAGGAAAGCTGTTTATTTGGGAAAGAAAGAAGCCCAGGGTGCTTTGCAGGGGAACAAGCAAAGGAACGGGGGTCACGCGCGCGGAGGTGTTGCTCTGTTCACGCACGTGGCTCAGCTGAGCAGAGTTCTCCATGTGTGCCCTGCTTTTGGCAGCAGGGTTGCTCGCTGGGTGCTGGCCATCACAGACCCCCTTGGAAGGGAAGGGATGTGGGTAGCTCCAGGTGCCTCTGCACAGTGTGTGAAGCAGAAGACAGGTAGAGGTGGATGGTCATGTAGGGGGTAAAACAACACAGGAGGATGGGGTGGTAGCTACCACCAGTGATAAGTATGAAAGATGGTGGGCAAAAAAAAAAAATCCTTGCATGGAGAAAGAGGGAATAATGAGCCCTGACTTTGGCAGAAAGGAAGGGATAACAATAACTGAATAATCCTCAAAAGCTGGCCTTCCCTCCAAGTACAGATACTCTTCCATGTGTATAAATTTTCATGCTTCCTTATTCCACCCCCTTCTTTTCTAAATACATGTTGAATGGTTAAATACAGAGTATTTATAGTCAAGTTGCATGGAATAAGGGTCCTTATCAGAAGAACGACTTTGTCTGTAGTAGCTACCTTGGACATTTTGAGAATTATCTAGTTGGAGCATTTACATTACACTGAAAACGTGTAGCTCCCTATCTGCACCCTGTTCTGCAAGCAGCAAGGGTGACAAGAAGGCACAGCTTAAAATCCTGCACTTCAAATGATGCTAGCAT